AGATGCGGCGGCCGACGGCGACTCCGGCGGCCAGTGGTTGACAGCGGCGATTTGGGCTGAGATGAGTGACTGGGAGGGTATTTTTGGTTAGGGGTTTGCTTTGGGAAATTTGATATGTTTGGGGGACTGTTTTGCAATTATTAAATTTTAAATCCATGTACTGTATATCTTTATTCATGGATGACAATTTTATAATTTAATGATAGACTAATTTATGCACATAATGATACATTAGATGCATGATATTGTTTATATGTGTGCACTTTAAAAAAAAAAATTGTCATATGTATATTTAAATTATATAAAAATCAATAAATGCACTATTTTTCGATAATTGGATTGTAAAATATTTTGAATACATGTACGTTTTAAAAGTAAAAAATAAATAGTCAAAATGAAATATAAAATCTTGAACTTAAAGTTTCAATCGTAACATAATTTATTTTGTTGGTTAACATAAATAATCAAAATAATTAACATAAATTAAATTATTTATTAGAAAAAAAAAATATGATTAGTATTTAAATTTTTTTTAGTGGATATTTAATATTATATTTTTTATTAAAAAATTGTATGTAAATGAAATATAATATTCAATTTAAAAGTTATTAAGGTGCATTTTGTTCAACACTATGGTGCAAAATGTCGTTCTATATTGTGCAGCTTGAACTAATCGAAATTTTGTCTAGATCAAATTAAAAATGAATATAATTTATTGATTTGTACAGTTCGGTTAACTGAATTATTCCAAATAATATAAATAATTTGTCATTTAGATTTAAATTATACTTATTATTATGTTAATAGTTTTATTATGTTTTTTTTGTTGAAAAAATTTGAATTCGCTTGGTTATGATTTCTATTACGCAATTCGATAGTCATGATAACGTGTATAGTGGTGTTTTGTAAAGTGCAACGTGTCGTTTTATAAAGTGCAACGTGATGTTTTATAGACTGCAACATGATGATGTACAGATTGAACTACTGTAGGTTGGTACTTTAGTTTTTTTGTGTTTTTTGTATTGGTAATTGATGCGAGTGATGTTAAATTATTATGTGCATCCCTTTGTTAGATTTATATCGTGTAGTATCTTGGCGAGATCTTACGACGATTATTGTGTAGTGTGGTTATAAATAAAATATTGTTTTATAAAGTGCAACTTGATTTATTGTAAAGTGCATTATGTTGATATATAAAGTGCACTAGTTATAAAAGAAAATGTTTGTTTTATAAAGTGCAACTGATATTATTATAAAGTGCATTATGTTGATATATAAAGTGCACTACTTTGTATAGTTATAAATGAAATGTGTTGTTTTATAAAGTGCAACTTATTTTATTATAAAGTGCATTATGTTGATATATAAAGTGCACTACTCTATATGATCACATATAAATTACTTGTTTTTTTATTTAAATTATACTTAGTAAATATAATTGTACATTAAATTAGTCTAAATAATCAAAACAATTTATTATTTAATATTATAAAAATATATTTATTTTTTTAATATTTTATGTATTAACATTTTACGTATTAAAATATTTAATCACTTTACATTATTTTTCATTAAAATGCATTCGTGAAGTAAATTAAAAATATAATCAAAATTAATAAAATTGTAACTATTTAATTATTGCTTTTTTGATTAGATATTTGGTTATGAACAAAATTAAAATATATTCAAGATTAAAAAATTTGCAAAATTATCCCTTAACAATCAAAATTAATAATATTTTTATTTATTACTATATAATTTTTATATGGTTTTAACATTCTGTATTATTTTTATTTTTAAAATTACAATCACACCCCTCATCAATATCTAATCTAATTCTTAAAAAAATGATACGATCATAAATCAAATTAATTAGCAAAAATCGTCAATCTCCCGGACGAATCTCCGGTAGTCTGGTTGTCCCCTCCACACGAAGAGGAGGTTCTTCGGCTCGCGATGACGGATTCGGGGTGTTACAGACGACGACTGCGAGAGGGGGAAGATGAGCTGGTCAGAGGCGGGACGTGGGGAAGCATGGCGGAGGTCGGGGAGAGAGAGGAAGGCGCGACGTGGGTCATGAGCGGCGGACATGGTGGCGAACGTAGCTGCCGGCCTCCGCAACGGAAATCTAGCGGACATGAATCGCTGGACTAGAGGTCGCCGGAGAGGCTGGAAGCGACATCGAGACGAACGACGTCGTACCAGAGATCACCACTTCCAATGGCGGGGCGGCATACGGCGGAAGTGTGGTTGTGGACGTCGGACAAGCACAACGTCGGCGGGATTCTAGGCGACGGCGCCGTCGTGGTGTCCGTCTGTCACACAGGTGCCGGCGGAAACTGTGTGTTTGTGTGGTGTGTGTGTGTTTGAGAGAGAGAAAAAATAAGTTAAGGAGAGAGAGAGAGAGAGAGAGAGAGAGAGAGAGAAAAAGAGAGTTAATGATGAAAGAGAGAGAGAAAGTTAATGAGTGTGATAGAGGTGAGTGGGTGACGTGCTGGCAGTTGGGATGTTGGTGCAGTGGGCCTAATGTTTTTTTTGGTGTTGTTAATTACTAAATTATCCTTATGAAAGAATAATTTTGACTTTTTCTTAACCATTAGATCATCCGATCTAATGGCTACAATTTATTCTTATTTCTTTCACTGAACACCATTCTCATGTGAACCCAACCCTATATATATATATATTATATTTTGTATGGCACTTTTTATTTGTGCGACTTACATGTGTTATATAATAATAATTTTTTAACTTACAACATTAACTACATTAAAAATAAATATATCAATTGATAAATAAAATTATTTTTCTAATGAATTTTAATAAATATTATTATTTATTATTATTATAAAGAAATATAATTTATTTAATTCATATATACAATATGGATGTCAAATCGAAGATCATCAAAAAATGATTAATTTGATATATAATATATGTAAAACCGATAAGAAATACAAAAGGTATCAACTTTTAAAATACATTTACAATTCAATAGCTAATTGAAGGAAACAAATCAAAGGCAGAGATATATTAGTTACTTAGTGACTCACTATGTAAAATTACAAATAATTAAAGGGTTATATTAGTACAAGTGATATTAAAATACCTAAGTTAGATAAATAATATTTATGGAATGTCCGAACCTAGATTATTAATTATTAATATATCAATATTATTTGTCCAAACCTAATTACGAAGCATGATTCTTCGCCAAGTAGGATTCCGAAGCACCAGAAGCAGCCACGTAGGCTCAGCGCATTCGAGAATTATATATAGAGAGGATGACACTTTTTATTTGTGTGTCTTACTTGTGTTATATTATAATAATTTTTTTAAACTTACAACATATAACTACATTAAACAAAAATATATCAACTGAGAAATAATTTTATTTTCTAATAAAATTTAATAAATATAATTTTTATTATTATAAAGGTAAATATTATTTATTTATTTTATATATACAATATGGATGTCAAATCGAAGATAATGAAAAGATGATTAATTTGATATTTTATATATGTAAAACCGATAAGAAATACAAAAGTTATCAACTTTTAAAATACATTTATAATTCAATAGCTAAATGAAGGAAACATATCAAAAGTCAGGGATATATTAGTCACTTAGTGTCTTACTATGTAAAATTACAAAGAATTAAAGGGTTATATTAGTACAAGTGATATTAAAATACCTAAGTTAGCTAAATAATATTTATGGAATGTCCGAACTTAAGATATTTATTGTTAATATATCAATATTATTTGTCCGAACCTAATTATGAAGCATGATTCTTCGCCAAGTAGGATTTCGAAGCACCAGAAGCAGCCACGTAGGCTCAGCGCATTCGAGAATTATATATATGACACTTTTTATTTGTGTGACTTACTTGTGTTATATTATAATAATTTTTTTAACTTACAACATATAACTACATTAAATAAAAATATATCAACTGAGAAATAATTTAATTTTCTAATAAAATTTAATAAATATTATTTTTTTATTATTATAAAGGTAAATATTATTTATTTATTTTATATATACAATATGGATGTCAAATCGAAGATAATGAAAAGATGATTAATTTGATATATTATATATGTAAAACCGATAAGAAATACAAAAGTTATCAACATTTAAAATACATTTATAATTCAATAGCTAATTGAAGGAAACAAATCGAAAGTCAGGGATATATTAGTCACTTAGTGTCTCACTATGTAAAATTACAAAGAATTAAAGGGTTATATTAGTACAAGTAATATTAAAATACCTAAGTTAGTTAAATAATATTTATGGAATGTCCGAACTTAGATATTTATTGTTAATATATCAATATTATTTGTCCGAACCTAATTAAGAAGCATGATTCTTCGTCAAGTAGGATTTCGAAGCACCAGAAGCAGCCACGTAGGCTCAGCGCATTCGGGAATTATATATAGGGTCGATTTATAATTTAATAGCTAATTGAAGGAAACAAATCAAATGTTAGAGATATATTAGTCACTTAGTGCATCAGTATGTAAAATTACAAAGAAATAAATGGTTATATTAGTAAAAGTGATATTAAAATACCTAAGTTACTAAATAATATTTATGGAATGTCCAAACTTAAATTATTAATTATTAATATATTAATATTATTTGTTCAAACCTAATTACGAAACATGGTTCTTTGCCAAGTAGGATTCCGAACTACTAGAAGCAGCCACATACGCTCAGCACATTTAAGAATAATATATAAGAGGAGGAGGATTTATTTATATATTTAATTTATAACATAATCGTAATATTGTTTTCCGGTGTGCTTGGCACGGGCCAGGCACGCATCTAAAAACCCGTCCAATTGCAGCCTTATAAACTATACATTATTTTATCTAATTCAAACATTTCATTTATTTCTTTTCAACAAGTCAAATATCTTTCTGCTTCCCTCTCTCTCGATCACGAACAACAGAGATCTAGAGGGAGTCGAGAAGGAGAAATCGGTAAGAATGGCATCCAGATGCGAGATCCTCTGTGAGATCCTGCTCGCAATATTCCTTCCTCCTCTCGGCGTTTGCCTCCGCCATGGCTGCTGCACCGTAAGAGCTCCTCCCGACAGTTTCTGTTTATCAGTAAATCACGTGCCCTAACTCTGTGAATCATCAATTTCGCAGGTCGAATTTTTCATCTGCTTGGTCTTGACGATATTGGGTTACGTCCCTGGAATAATTTACGCCCTCTACGCCATCGTCTTCATCGATCGCGACAGGTTCCGTGGGGATTACTACCAGCTAGCCTAGTACCATTTCTTAGCCCTCACGCTATTATTTGTATCTGTTGGTTTGGGAATGGTTTGTTTTGTATATCTAATTTGATTCATGAAATTGTTCTGTTTTCTAATGGCTGTGGTGAAGGCATAGATCCTTATTTGGTTATGAAGTTGGGTTATTCAGTATGTTCCTAATTTGTGTTGTTTCTTTTGGATGAGCTCATTATGTTTCTAATAAGTGGGTTAATGAAGTTGGTTATGATTCACAAGGATAAATTTTGTCAGTGATCTATTTATTATATTTGTGATCTGGTGAAGATATCGTTTTTCGGTCTATCACATGGTCGAAGGGGGCTTCATTGTGCGCTAGCTGGGCCGTCAAGCAATTTAGGTTATGGCTGTTGTTTAGCATGTTGATGCTTAACAGTTTTTCACTTCAGTGAAATGCAAAAATTTAGGTCATGGCTGTTGTTTAACATGCTTTTCCTGTGTGAGTAAGATTTCTAAGTTTAACAATATGAGATATTGTTGTTTCATCTTGAGATGGAGAAAACTTAGTTTTAATCTCGAAGGGTTCCTACTTGCTCTATTAGATAATCCCGGTAAGTGGATCATATGGTTGTATTGATACACTTGCGAGTACTTAATGGAATATCACGAAAGATGAAATTTTGATCTAAAATTTGATGCCTCGTTTGCTCGCCTCTTATTTAAATGATAAGTGGATCATATAGCTGTATTGATACACTTGTTGAGTACTTGATGGAATATCATGAAAGATGAAATTTGGATCTACAATTTGATGCCTCGGTTGCTCGCCCCTTATTTAAATGATTCTGTGAAACATTTGATACACAGGCATGTGTGCCAAGGTTCCTCCATATCTTTATATTCTTCAGATATGGTTAGTGTCAAATTGTTCAATATGCATGTGTGGTTTATTTAATAGCTTCAGTTGTTTGAATGTGTGTAGCTCCTCGAAAAAACTGTGATATTCAAAGAGTGTTTTTGGGAATCCAGATGGGATTAATAGAAGATGGGCCTCAACCAAGGTTCTCAAAACCGATCCGGTGAAACTACCGGTTCAATGGTTCAGGGGTCGGACCAGCGGTCGATCATGTCGAACCTGTTTAATTAATATATAAATTTTTATTATTTTATATATATAAATTTTTATTTATTTTATATGTATTCTTTTTTTAAAATGATGTATAATTTTATATATCAAAAAGCACAAATGTGCAAAGATACAACCCCTAGTTGAATAATACAACCAAAATTTTGGTTGAATA